AGAGAGAGAGAGAGAGAGAGAGAGAGAGAGAGAGAAATGAAAAATTGAATGAGCTCGACCGAATCAGTATATCGGTAACAAATTAGAGAATCTATAAATACATGGAGAAAACGCGCTATTTTTTCTGATTATCTTGATGAAAAATTCTAGTATACCATATTATATATCTTGTTTTTTCTCTTTTATCTTCTGTTAAAAAAGTCTCTCTTTAAACATAGTCACAATTCACCTGCGTTAATTCAAAGAGAAAGTATATATCGAGTAAAACATATGTGAGCTATTATTATTTATGGTTAATTTGTATTAATTGTCATTAATATCATTATGCGCTATACGATGTTGTAAACGATTATTATGTAACGCATGAATGACGTTTAATAGAGTATTTATTGAAATTATCACTCGTGTCTATTCTTCAACCATAAGAAGTACTTATTTATTTTCATATAATCAAATATTAATTTAAGTTTGATCAATTTTTCTAAACTTTTCAAAATTTATAAATAAATTTTAAATATTGAAAATATGATATTAATAAAATTTATATAATAGTTTTGAAATTACTATCATTTAACTAATAATAAAAAGATATCAAATTACTTTTAATCAATGAAATAATAAAGAATATTCTTAATCTATAAAAATTATATGAAGGATGTAAATAAATTAAAAATAAATAATTTATGAAATAACATTAAAAAAATATTAAGAAAAGAAAATTATAAAAATTAGAAAAATTAAATAATAAAATTTAGAAAAAGATTAGATTTAGATTTATATAAAATAAGATAAACATGAAAATAATTTTATTTTGTAATTATTTTCTTACAGATAGTGGGAGACTTACGTTGTAGAAACGCACACAATTGCATTAAAACTGAATAAGATAACTTCAATTAACGTTCTAACGATGTACGATGATTATATCGTATGCCATTCCCAAGAACGGTTCGACTTTTACTTGCGATTCTTGCTTTGTAACATTTGTAAAAGATGATCTCCGCTCAGGAAAATATTAGGTATGTTATTTCATTGTTTTCTATTACAATAATTATGTTAATATGTAATAATATTATTATTAATTATTGCTAAAAATTTTATAAAAGAATATTTTTTTTTTTTTATGTAACTTTATATTCAATAGTCATAACGAGAAATTTATTGTTTAATATATTGAATGCATTATTTAGTATTGCTATTTCATTCATTTTTTTTTAACTTACAATGTTGTTTCTTTGAGTTTCTTTGTAAATTGAATTATTTAATTTTGATTATAAAAGAAAAACGTAGTGTTTAATTTCAAAAATAAATAAACATAACTTTGGGGCAAAAATGAATTTAGAAGTTTTCTTGTGTGTTTCTTTGTAAAGTGAAAGTTAATTGTTATTCAATTAAAAAAAATGTCTAGTCAATTATGTTGAAATTTAATGGAATGTTGTATACGATTAAAAAAAAAATTAATTTAGATAAAGAAATAAAATATCAAGAATATAGATTTATATAAATTTGAATAAATAAGCATACTCAATTAAATTGTTTTCGATAATAAAATTTTACTTACTATACTATTGCTATTTATTATACTATATACTATTACTATACCATATATATAATACATAACTATGAAAATATTTTTTATATATTTCTTTTAATAAATAATACTACTAGTATTACTAAAAGTATTATTATAATATTAAACCTATTTATTGTAAAAAATAACTTTGTTAAAGTCTTTACTTAGAGTTTTAAAGGTTATAAATTTTTTATGCAAGTAAATATTTCTTTTTATTATATACTTAGCTATTAAAATATTTTTATTTTAAAAGTTCATAGAAAAAAATTAAAAATTAAAAATATTTACAAAAATTTGTAAAATTTCACGAGAGTACAAAAATGCAGAATTAAAGAAATATTTAATATTGAAAAATTAAAGGCAAAAGAAATATGTTATTTTTTGCTGATTGGTAATAAAATATTATTTGATTATATTTATATAATTATATAATTATATAATATTAATATTATAATATACATTCCTAAGTATTTTTATAATTGCATCAGGACTATAGAATTATAGAATTAATTAATCATTCTTTTGTTAAATCATTTTATAATTTTGCAATATTCCATCATAAATTGTCATTAAAAACATTTTGTTGTTTATTTTGTATTAATTTTTTTATTTTATATATATTTTTTTAATTTATATTTAATTTATATTTATCTATATAGCTATTTTCATTTATTTATTTAAACTCGTTCATAAAATAAAAGATTCGAAAAAAAGTGAAAGATAAAAAGAAAATCATAAATCTTTATATATTTTTGACATTTTAATCCACTCATTTCATGTTTAATTCACTTATTTTGAAAATTTTTAGTTAATTAATTTCTTATTGTTGATATATAATGTAGAATTATTAATAATGTAGAAATATTGTATATCTTAATGAAATTATTATTAAAATTAAATATTTCTTGTAAATTCATATTTATTAAAATATCACGTTTTTACATTGGTGGATTTAAAATTTAAAAATTAATCATTTAAAGATTCATGAAAAAAACATATATTTTGAATATACTTCGATATTAATTTATAAGAATAAAGAATGATAATAAAGAAAAATAATAAAGATAAAATAAGATTTTATTTAGAAATTTAATATCTTCCATAGAGTTCAATATTATTTTAAAGTCAAATTGTAATTATGATATGTCCCTATCGATATTATGTCTCTATCGATATATATAATTTTTATTTAAAACATTTTTTCATTCCTACTTATATAAATAATCACATGTAAATAAACATGGACATATTGTATGTTTATAACAAACTTTTTTTTTAGATTTCAATTGTATATATAATTATATATAATATACAAAAATAAATAAATAATAATTAATATAATAATAATGTAAGCATATTATATGTTATAATAGTTTAAGCATAATAAATATAGTAATAATTATAGTACAATGATATATCAAATTTCGCTATATTTCAATTTTTTTTATTTTTTATCATATGAAATTATTTAAATATAAATAAAATAATTAAAATATTGACTTTATAATAATAAATAGATATTAAAGTCATTCAAGCAAATGTGTTAAATATTTATAATTTTCAAATTCTTATGAATTTGTGCTGCGTTTTATATAATTAATTCGCATGCAATACAATTATATTTAAAGAAATTTATGTATTTGTGTATACTTATATAATTTTTTGTATAATATATAATGATTACTTAATGAATGTTATAAAATAGACAGCTTTTTTTAATCATATTCCATATATATATCTTTCAAGAAAAATGTGTTGGTATTGTTATCTAGCAAAATAGTATGTTATTTAGCATAATGCTTGAAAAAAATATATATATAAATGATTCACTACTTTTTAAAATTGATAATTATTAAGACCGATTATCATTCATGAAGTTGAATAACATTATACAACATTATTTTTTAACTATTGTGTTTATTATATATTGTTTTTTGTTAGCAATATCGAAATTAGTAAGAATAAAGCTAAAAACATACACAATACAATCTACTTAAAAAAATAAGTCAATTAAAATAAATATGACAGTTTAAAAAATTAAAATAAAATAAAAATTGAAAAATGGAAAAAATTAATTCTTAGTAGAAAAAAAATTGAAATATTATTTATTAATATTTTTTAAAATATTTATATTACAAAATTTATTTGTTGTTATTTATATATTGTACTACTATTATTTTATATAACTTTACAATATTTTCATTTTAATATTTTAAAGTCTTATTAATTAACAATAGAAAAAATTTATATTTTAAAAAAAGATGTAAATCATGGTTTTCCTAAAAAGTTCATCAATGCTTTATTAATGCAAATACAAATTTTCTTATTTAAAATAATTGAAACATTTAATTATCTATAAATTAAAAATTGATTATGTTTATCATTTGTCTAAATCGAATAAAATTTTTTTTAAAATCGTCGACTTTTTTGTTTAAACATTAATGATTTTATAATTTGTCATTGCCAATTCATTTAATAATTATTTCATCTTTATAAGATTACAAGATTATAAGATTTATAAAGTTATTGAAATTGATTATAATCCATTGTGATGTCAATTAATGATAGAATAAAAATAATATTTATTATTTAAATTGTGTGCAAACATCAATAACCTAAAAAACTCTGGAAAAAGGAGGAGGATCTTGAAAGATATATTCTTTACAATAAATAGATCATGCATATAAAATACTTTTAGAAATATTACAATATTAAAATATTACAATTGAAAGAAATACAATTGAAATACACATGTATTTAAATAATTTTACTTAAAAAGAGTAATTGATATATTTCACATGCGAAACTTGAAGATATTCTTTATTTTGTTCAAATGAAGTTACAACTATTACCGATATTATTCAAAACAAGTTGCATTCTGTTTGTATTATTTATTCTCTTTATTAAAATTATTCTTATTAAAAATATGCAAATATATTTAAAGATAAAATTCTTAAAAGTTTCTTGCAAGAATTTTTTTTTTTTACAAATAGCTTTGTAATAAAAGCATCTATACGAGAATAATTTTACTTTCAACATAGTATCTAAAAAATTAAAATTTATGTTACTTATATAGAAAATTCACATAATAATTTAAAATTTTAATGCCAAATGCACTTCTAATATAATTATCATTCATCATCATATAATATATAATATCAGTTGATAATATAAATTGATATTAGATTATACAGTTGATGATGAATAAATATATTATAAATAAAATAGGTTTTTTTTATGATATATTTTTTTTATGTTATACAAATGCAGATTAGACTAAACCAATATTATGAATAATAAAAATAACATTATAAATAATAAAGTATGTTATATAAACAATGAAATTTATATTTTTTATAGAAACATAATTATAAAAATAATTATTGTTTTTACCTATATCTACAGAATAAGACACAATATTATAATTTTTTTTGAAATTAATACAGATTAGATTAATTAGATGATCTTTTATATTTGACAGATTTTTAAAATCAATTTAAGAAATAAAAAACGTTCCGATAAAAGAATTATATCAAATTTTTTTTTTTTATGTAGAATCATTGCCCAATTATATATATACGATTATTATACTATTCTATAATATTTTTCGTATATATTATATTATATCGTACGTTATTATATTATATCTACAAATATAATTTGTTTGTTGATATTCATTTTAAAAACAAATTGACTTTTTTCCGTTTTTTATTTATTTATAATTTTTAACAAATAAAATCTAAAACTATCAGATTCAGACTTTCAGATTTATTAGGATTATAGATAAAAAGTTCTTGTTCTTGTTTTTTTTTGTTTTTTGATTAATTTTATATTAGCTATGATTAATTATTATCAAATACATAAAAATAAATTAAAAATTCACAAACGAACTTTCAAATTTCGTTTCAAAATTATTAAATTAAATAATAATAAAATTAGTAAAATTATTAAAATTGGTTAAACAAATCTTTTGTAAATATTCCATTTCGAAATTTAGAAACATTGTAGAATTGTATAAATAAAATAAAACTTATTTCTAATGTTTATATATGTTTATTTTGATAAGAAAGTCAATTTCATAATTTTAAATAATATATGTATCTATTATTACAATTGCTATGGAAATAAAAAAATTAAGAAAAGAGCTGAAATTGAATTAAATTAGATTTACGATTTACATATATTTTTCATTAGGTACTTGAGAGATACTGTTATAAAACAAATAATTGAAAAATCATTATCAAAATATTCTATTTCAAATAGTTTTATGATTGGATGTATTCCTTTATCATTAAAAAAAGGAAAATTATTGGTTATATAGAAAAGCCACTTAACTTTAAGTATTCCAGTATCAAACTATCACTATTAAATATTCTAGATCAATTTTGATGTTATGCAAGATTTGAAATTGCATAGTAATGTATGTAATTTCCATTCATTAAGCATATTTTTATGTGTCATCTCTTTGCAATACATTTTTTTTTTGCATATTCATTTGATTGTACATTTTGATAAATATCGTGCACTTATTTTTTTATCGTTTATGCTTAACATTATATGCATTTAATTAATATACAATTATTCATTATTATATAATTTTATTTTAAATTTTTATTTTTATTTTATTAAATATTATTTGTATTACAATTTTTAAGTAAGAGTAATACGTTACATTATAAGATAAATAATCTTCATTTTGTATTAAAAATTTCTTTTCGAAAATTATTTATAATTTTATCGAAACAATAATGTAAAATCACTTTAATCGATTATAATGAATTTAAAATACTTTTTATGCTTGAAAAAAATCATCAGATTACAAGATAAAAACAAAGATATTCCCATCTTTCATTCACTGATATATTATATTAAATCTTATTTGTAGATAAATCACTTCCGGTTAATATATATGTTTATTTTTATGAATATCCATTCAATTAAATTTACATTTTTTTCCAAGGAAATTTTTTTTACTTATATATATATATATATAATTAAGAATAAACTTGAATATATTTTTATATATAATATACTGCATACTGTTCGTTTTTTTTAGTATGAGTAATAATATTTTTAAAGTCGAATTATTTAGAATAAATCATAAACTAAATTTCTTAAAGAAAAATAATGCATCAGAAGAAGAATCATTTTTTATATTTCAATCTCTGTAGACAAATATTAAATTTAGTTTTATGTACTTAAAAAATGTAATGTACGTTCAAATTATTTTTTCATTTATTATCAAATTCAAATTTAAGTCAAGTCTTAAATCAGTCGTAAATCGAATATATATATTATATTTTATTATATTTATATTAATGTAATTGAATGTAAATAATTATTTTAAATGTTAACTATAAAATAATGAATATGATTTTATGAATTCGTATGAACTTAAATATATTTAAAATAATTAATTTGAAAAGCAATCTTATTATCAATAAATATATAGTATAATTTGAATAAATAATTTTTAATATTCGATTAAAATATTTTCAATTCTTTTGCATTATCTCGAATTATTTTTGAATTATTTTTTACCAAGATCTTTATTTGATTATAATCTATTACTTTTTGCCTAATAAAATATAATTATTGATAAGAAAATTTTATCATGAAATCTCGCATCGAAATTTTTAATTGTTTATAAAAAATAAATATATATATATCTTGATTTATCGCAATAATTATTTTAATTATTTCAGGGATTCTAAAAACACTATAGAATTCATCATCAATGAACAAAGTTACATTGGTTTGTATTTATTAATTATAATAATCGAAAAATAAAATAGTAACAATTCAATAATTATAACTATTTTTTTCAGTAAAAGAAGATATTCCGCCTGATACTACTCTGAATATCTTTATTAGAGATTATGCTAAACTACGAGGAACTAAAGCTATGTGTCTCGAAGGAGGTTGTGGTGCATGTATTGTGTCAGTAAAAGTTAAGGATGAAGATATATCTGTGAATTCTTGTTTAGTACCAATTCTTATTTGCAATGGGTAAGTTTAAGAACTAAATAATTTACTGTATTTATTATATTTATATCACTGATATTTCAAATTATTTAATTTTATTTCATTTTTACATCATAGATGGGTCATAAAAACAATTGAGGGTTTGGGTAATAAGAAAAATGGTTATCATACTTTACAAACAGGATTAGCAGGAAAAAATGGTTCTCAATGTGGTTTTTGCTCACCTGGAATGGTAATGAATATGTACAGGTATATATATAATTTGTATTTATATTTTCTTTTAATAAAAATCTCATAAATAAATTTAATAAATTTCATATTTTTTAGTCTCTTAAAAAAAAAAAATTTGACAATGAAACAAATAGAAAATTCCTTTGGAAGTAATATATGTCGTTGTACTGGTTATCGACCGATTCTAGATACATTTAAAGCATTCGCCAATGATGCTGAGGAAAATCTCGTTAAAGATATTCAAGATATTGAAGTATGTCAAGCAAGATGTTAACATTAAATAATATCATATTATTTGAGCTATATTTGAAATTTTAATAATAATTCAATTAAATAATTTTTCTTAGTCACTTTCTTAAATATTAGATTTTATTAATATTAGAGATAATTATTTTATTTATTCAAAAAGATATTTTATTCAATATTAGTCATTATTTATTTATATTTTTGTTATATTCTGTTATATTTTGTTATATTCTGAATCTTTTATTGAAAAATAGTTCTGTATAATAAAAACTTTTTTTATCTAGGAACTATTTAATGTAAAAACTTGTAAAAGAATTAATGCATTGCATGAAAATAGTTGTAATTGTTGTTGCACAGTCATTCAGAAGACAGAACATAAAATTGATATGAAATTGGATAATAGTGAGTTTCATAAAATTCTATCAATTGATGATTTGTTCGCATTATTTCAAAAGAATTCAAATGCGAGCTATATTCTACATGGTGGCAATACTGCACATGGTATATATACAATAATTAATAATAATTTATATTAATTTATATTAATTTTATATTATTAAGTTCTATTTATTACATAAATAATATGTAACATATTTTTCTTTTTTCTTTACTTGTAGGTGTATATCGATCGAAAATACCAGATATAATCATTGATATAAATGATATATCTGATTTGCGTAATATAAGAAAAGATAATGATACTTTAACTATTGGAGGCAATGTCTCCCTTACTGTTGCGATGGAAACTTTTGAAAAATATTCAAAAGAACCAGGATTTAAATATTTACAGTATTTGGCTAAACATATTGATTTAATTGCTAGTGTTCCTGTGAGGAATGTAAGTAAATCCAATTAAGTATATATAATAAATATAAAACAAATAAATAAAAAATTTAATATTACAGATTGGATCTATAGCAGGAAATTTAATGATTAAATATGAGCATCAAGAGTTTCCATCAGACTTATTTCTAATTTTGGAAACTGCAGGGGCACAATTGCATATAGGTAAATAAAAAATTCAAATAAAAATATTTTAAATATGTTAAGACTCGGGCTCGTGAAATGGTCCTGCTTTATTTTCAACAGTTCGAATATCTGCCAACAATCTAACAGTAATTTATGAGCGGGCATGGTTTTCGTAACGTTTTCCAGATCTTAGTTTGAACAGATATCATAGCGATCACTTCACGAGCTGTATTTGCACGTCATGTGAAGGACTATCGTGTAAGCAAGAGCAAAGATCGTGATTCCCACGCACTGCGGTGCGATCTCGCGAGGGCCCATCCTTTGACGATGATTGGTCCCTCTAACCCCTCTCTGTGTGCATTTTCACGAAATGCAAGGATTGGAGGAAAAACTAAGACTTGCGGTTTGTGTAGAATTAGAGTAGGCAGAGAAGACGGTAGTCAAATTAAAATAAACATAGAAGACGGAAGTCGAATTAGAACAAGCGAAAGAAAACGGTAGTTGAATTAAAGCAGGCAGAGAAAATGGTAATCGAATTAGAGCAAGCAGAGAAGACAGTAATCGAATTAGAATGGACATAGAAGACAGATAGATTTCGGCGACGATACAGTTTATCAAAGCACACAGTTAGCCGCAAAGAGTTAAAGTATCACCATTCCTACGGTAGTAAGTGGTCCTTCGAGTAGTAATATCAGTTTATCATCCCATTTATGCAATATTCAAAGTCATACATGCTTGCGCCTTTAACAAAATATTTAGAATATTTAAAATGTTATGTAAATTGAATATTTTCATTTTTTTAGTGGAAGCTGGTGGCAAGAAAACTGCCATGACATTACTTGAATTTTTAAATTGTAACATGAAACACAAAATTATATACAGTATAATATTGTCGGCTCTTGGTGAGGAATATGAATACAGATCTTATAAAGTATATATTTTTTATATCAATATTTTATGTAATTGAATTGCCTAGAATAATAATTTTCATCAAAGAAATTAAATTTAGATAATGCCGCGATCACAAAATGCTCACGCCGCTGTAAATGCAGCATTTTTGTTTAAATTGGATGGAACTGGAAAAGTATTGGAGAAGCCAAACATTATCATAGGTGGAATAAACAAAAATTTTGTGAGTAAAAACTAAATGTAACAAAAATAAATTGGAAGGTTTAAATAAATAGATTTAAGAAAAAAATTAAATTAATTTTTCCAGCTGCATGCATCAAAAACTGAAAATTTTTTGTTCGAGAAATTCATCTTTGAGGAGAATATAGTTAAACAAGCTTTGGATATATTAGATGCAGAAATACAACCTGATTATGTTTTGCCTGATTATTCTCCAAAATTTAGAAAAATACTTGCAGAAGGACTTTTTTACAAAGTTTGTATTTTTGGATAAGAAATTATTTAAATTTCTAGTATAATTAAATTATTTATACGAAACATATTCTTTTATAGTTTATTTTAAGTATTAAACCAGAAAATGTGAATCCAACAATCCGCAGTGGTGGATCTATTTTAGAACGTGGATTGTCTTCTGGAAAACAAAATTACGATACAAATAAATATCTATGGCCTTTGAATCAGCCTTTGCCAAAAATGGAAGCTATATGTCAAACATCGGGTGAAGCATATTATACAAATGATTTTCCACCATTTCCAAATGAAGTTTTTTGTGCTTTTGTTCTTACTACAGTAGCTAATGGAAAAATAAAGAACATTGATGCTTCTGAAGCATTGGTATTTTTATTAAATTTAAATAAATTTAAACATTTTGCAAATTTTAATATTTTTAAATTATTAATTTTTAATTTTAAATTTATAATATTTACTATATTTTTCTTGTTTTGAATAAATTTGAATATATTTTTCTAGAAAATGAAAGGAGTAATAGCATTCTATACAGCGAAAGATATTCCAGGAAAAAATTTATTTATACCAGCAAATGCTCAACTATTATTCTTGAATTTTGATGAAGTAGTACGTTAGATCATTAAAAAAATATGTTATTTAAAATTTAATATCTAAAATTTATAACTTATCTTAATTTTTTATATTTTAAGCTTTTTGTAGATAAAAATATTGAATATGCCGGACAGCCAATCGGAGTAATTGTTGCTACAACTTTTACAATTGCTAATCAAGCAGCACAAATAGTAAATGTTTCCTATATTGATTTCATACCAGAAAAAATATTATTGACAATTGAAGATGTACTTGCATTGAATGATAATACCAGAGTATATGAATCAGCTAGCTCCACTGCACAGACCAAAGGTACAAACATAATATTTCTTGGATAAATTTTATATAAAGTGGTTTCATTTCACAATTATTCATTCATATACTATTGCAATTTTATAGAACTAAAATTTTTATTATTTTTTATATTATAAATATAAATATATTATTATTCTAAATTTATATTGTTTTTTTATTAAATTTATATTATTTTTTTAACTCATTAAATTTAAATATCATAGGAAATGATGTGAAACATACAATAAAAGGAACATTTAGAAACGGAAATCAATATCATTTTACTATGGAAACTCAAACATGTGTTTGTGTGCCAATAGAGGATGGAATAGATGTTTTTGCTGCAACTCAATGGATGGATTTGACTCAAATAGCCATAGCTCAATGTCTTGATATAAAGAATAATAGGTAATATATACAAAATACAAAGTTGAATTTATTTAATTTATTGTTTTTTAAAGTTATTAATTTTAATTTTACAGTATTAACATTAATGTGAAGAGATTAGGAGGTGCTTATGGTGCAAAGATATCTCGTGCTACACAAATTGCTTGTGCTTGCGCTTTAGTATGCTATAAATTAAATCGACCAGTTAGATTCATTATGTCGATAGAAAGCAATATGCTCGCTATAGGAAAACGATATGATACTCGTCAGGAATATGAAATTGGCGTAAATGATAACGGTCAAATTCAATATTTGAATTCAAAACATTGGGGCAATAGTGGTTGCAGTTTTAACGAATTTCATGCTCCTACAGTTGTAGAACAAATGAAAAAGTAAATAAACTATATATTATAAATATTATATATATTATAAATATATATTATAATTATTATATATTATAAATATATATTAATAATTAAGAAATTTTTTGATACATAGAAATTTTTCTTTATAAAAATTTTAGTTGTTATGATTACTCAACTTGGACTTATCAAGGTTTTGAAGTTAAAACTGACTTGCCTTCCAACACTTTTTGTCGAGCTCCAGGTATTTCTAATCAATATAATGAAAAGGAATAATTCTTCTAAAATTAAAATTTAATTTAATTTTTTAATTTTATTTTAATTTTTTTTTTTTTAGGTTCAACAGAAGGTATAGCTATAATAGAAAACATAATGGAACACATAGCAAAAACTGTTGGAAAAGATCCATTAGAGGTTAGATATGCAAATATGATTGATGATCACAAAAAAGTATTACAGCCTATGATAGAAGAACTATGTCAGAATGCAGATTATGAAATCAGAAAAAAAGCTATAGATGTCTTTAATGCTGTAAGAATATTTAATTTTTTATTATAATTGTATTATATAAAATATTGATTATAATGAAATCTATATTTATAGGAAAATCGATGGAAGAAGAAAGGAATAAGTTTGATACCTATGATGTATCCTTTTATTACTTTTGGTCAGTTTCATGCATTAGTTTCGATTTATGCACGAGATGGCACAGTTTCTGTTACTCATGGAGGAATTGAGTGTGGTCAGGGAATTAATACTAAGGTATTAACAAATATAATTAAATCTTTTATATAATAAAAAAAATTTTTTTCATTATAGGTAGCTCAAGTAGCAGCATATACTTTAGGTATTGACTTATCATTGGTCACTGTAAAAGCAAGCAACAATTTAACATCTCCAAATAATATGGTTACTGGTGGTAGTGTTACTAGCGAGACTTGTGCATATGTAAACTTTGTTTAAATTTATTATCTTATTACCTTATATATATCATATATAATATATAGAAAATATGATCAATCTTCCAATTAGCTCTCTTTCATCTTAATAAGCTTGAAATATATTGTAAAAGATTTTATTTTGAATAATTTTTTTTTTAAGCATAATCAATGATTGACTTTAGGAGTTATTTGTAAAATTTTTTGATAATATTTTGAATTTTGTGTATATGTATCCATAACAATATATTTGTCAATATGTTATTACATAACTTTTATTGACAGTATGAACTACACAGAGCATAGAAAGATTCGCGTTCGTTTTGAACTGAATTTAATTTATTTATAGTGGAGTTGCTGGAACAAAACACAGATTAGAAAAAAGGACGAATTCCGTGCTAAACACTGATTTTATTAATGATTATTGATTTATTATTGATTATGAAAATGCTTCAGTGATTGGAATGTCACTAAATATATAGATAAAATTTAATACAATAGTTTTTTACAAAAGTTTTTTACGAATAATTTAATAATTAGAAAAAATATTTATATTTAACATAAAAGTTATTTAAGTTATAAAATAATATCTTTTAAAATATATTTCAAATTAATTAATATTGATGAGGAATATAATAAGCAAATTAATCGAAAATATTATATAATATTTAAAAATACACATATATTTTTAGGCAACTATGATGGCTTGCAAAGAACTAGTTCAGAGATTAGAACCTATTAAAAAAGAGTTGGAAAACTTTTCGTGGCAAAAATTAGTATTAACAGCGCACATAAGAGATGTTGATCTATGTGCGCGATACATGTATGTTTTATAATAATTTGTTAGCTAAATAAATTTTCTAATTAATATATTTATGAAACATATTCATATATATTTAGGTTTACTGTAAAAGATGATATAAAATCATATCCAATATATGGAGCAACTATAGCAGAAGTTGAGATTGATGTATTGACCGGACAACATATTATACATAGAGTAGATTTAATTGAGGATGTTGGAAGAAGTATGAATCCAGAATTGGATTTGGGACAAGTGGAAGGTGCTTTCATAATGGGTCTCGGATATTGGATACATGAACAGCTAATTTATGATCCGAAAACTGGTCAACTAACGAATTATAGAACTTGGGTGCCGTTTCTGAATTTGTCTAATTTAATATAACATATAAAAAATTATTAAGTTGAAATTGAAAATATATATTTTTTTGCAGAATTATAAACCACCAGGTGCAAAGGACATTCCTGTCGATTTTCGAGTTTATTTCCGTAAAAATGGTACTAATTCATTAAGTGTTCTTCGTTCAAAAGGTAAAATTATATATTATAATTAAATAATTAAATTATATATTAAATTATAATTAATTGAAAGATAAAACTATTAATAGTAATTTTAATGCATTTAATTAATCTTAATAAGTTATTAAATAATCATAGCTACTGGTGAACCACCATTATGTATGAGTTATGCAATACCTATTGCAATTCATAATGCACTTAATTCAGCAAGAAAAAATGCTGGAAATAATGATGTATGGTATAATCGAGGTAGGAATGAAAAATACTTTCAGAAATTAATTATCTACTATTATTTTATTAATATGACCTATTCAATTTTATTAAAAATTTTTTTTTCAGAATATCCTCTTACAATAGAAAAAATTTTATTAAATAGTTTAACTACTAAAGAACAATTAGTACTTTAAAAATTTTCAATAAAACATTTAATAATTTTCTTTCTTTAATATCTATCATAAATTTGTTTATGATATCCAATATATATTTCAATTTATAATTATACATGAATATAATAAACAATTTTTGGACTAGAATGATTATTTATTCAATATTTATATTCCAGACATATACATAGCATTAATACAATTTTAAAAAATATTTTAAAATTAATATATATAATATATTAAAATTAATAAATTAATAAATTAAATAAATTAAAAGAGTTCATCCATGTTATATAAATTTATATAACATGTTTATATATAATATATTTCTGCAATATTATTAATTTTTTTTTAATTATTAATTATTTATTATTAATAAAAAAATTATTCATATTCTATTGCAATTTGTATTCAATGTTACAAATATTACTTGAAATTTATTGATTATTGAAATACTGAAAAAAATAAAATGAAAAAATTTATTTAAAATAAAAATTATATAATATTATAAATTTAATAATTGTAAGTATTTTTAATAATTTAATAAGTAATTAATCGTACTTATGAAATTTATTGGTAATCGTCGTGTAAATTAATAATTGATCATATAAATTTATTATAAAAAACAAATACTCGTAAATTAAAAAATTTGTATATAGTATAATTATAATATTATAATTTAATATTATAATTTTAAAATTATATATTAACGATACGATAACAATAACGAATTTTAAAATTAATGCGCAATGAACTGCACTTCAGTTTGTATATGCGCGAATGTAAATGTAGCGTTGTTTTATTTTTGTTTTTTTTATTAAAAATTTATATTTTCAATAAATAAGCTGATTTAAGTGATTACATTTATTTTTATTATGATAAATATTAGAGAACATTATGAATACATCAGTGAAATGTATATTATGATTATGGAAAGAATTCTGAAATGTCTTTGTAAGTAACGTTGTTTTTTATTATATAGTTTTTCCTATTCAAATATAATATTGAATATAATTCATAATATTAAATTTTAATATTAAAAAGAAAGTAATTTCAATATGGAATTTTTTTAAATACTTTCATTCTGATAATTGTGAATTAAGAAATTTCTTATTGATTAGAATCTTAACCTTATTAATGTTCATTTAAAATAGTATTATCTCGCGCGATTTTTTTGGCGGTTAAAAAATACTTGCGATGCATTTGAATATATTGTTATAGATTTTATAACAAATATTAGATTTTATAAAAGAATAAATAGTTTTCTTTTTTAGATATGAAAGAAGTTTATAAACTTTTTTATTAAATTTTTTTTGTTAAAAATAATTTAATTTACGAATATATCTCGTATAATTATCAATATAAATTCTAATATATTTCTAATTAAAAGAATAATTATAAATAATCTCGTTCATTTTTCAATGATATTGTAATTTTAAATTGTAGTTTTTTTTAATTATGTACTAAATTCAAATTTAGATCTCATCAATCAAATTACTTTATATTGATATATTTAAATATTCATAAATCAATTAAAAACATAAAAAACATATCTTAAAATATTAGTTTGGTAAAAAAAAAAATCATAAGAAGAAGAATATTTTTTATTTTATTATATAAATATTTATTTGCATACTATAATATTTATTTGTACTACTATATATAAATATTTTTAAATGCTTTGTAATAACGATTTTCTTTAATATTTATAGAATAATTGAATAATTTTGAAAGAAATTTTATATTATAAAAAAACATATATATGTATGTATATATCATTGTTAATATAATTATGATATTAGATACAAAATTTATATATAGTTTTTACATAAAATTTGAATTAATGATAAAATTTTTGAAACATATATTAAAATTTAATAATTTGACAATTCTTAATAATTTATATGATTTTATTATAAAAAAATATTTAAAATGACATTTAGTTAATCATTAATAGTATATTATATTTTATAATATAATAAATGAAATTTAAATTCTTTCCACTAGATGGCACAGTATACTCCTTATATGAAATCCTTTAAAAATAGGATTACTAGGGGAAATCCCTCAAGAAAGAATTTTTTTTCTATTTCTTTGTCTTCTTCATGACCCTATTATTAGCATCATTACTCCATCTATGTCACCTATATTATGCCTAGTATTGCTAAATATCATCGAACCATAAGTCATTGTTAATCGACTTCTTTCCCTCCTATTATTTTCTTAAATCTCTGAAATCTCTTAAATTTCTCAATTTAGTTGTTTTCTCGATCTTGTTGTTTAAAAAATACAATCTTGTGCACATTTATTTTTCTTCAATGAAACATGATATAGATATTAGGCGTTGCTCATAAGAACATTTTTCTAAAAAGAAAACAAATCTGATTGGTTATTTTTGGTAGATTAAATAAAATCATCAAATTTAGCTGAAAGTATCATTTACTTACATAATATATTGCATAAACGAAAAAAATGAAATTTTTTTTTCTTACTCGTATATTGTTTTCATAGATTATTCAACATTATTATAGGTTATGTTACATAGATGGAATATAGCTGAATAAGCTTTTTGATTATCGTTGATTATACAAAAATAAAGTAAAAACTGTTTGATTATGTCATATATACTAATGTTTTTTTCTTATTTAATAAAAATTGATGTATTATAATTATGATGTTAGTGTTTGACGTCAGTCATTACTCATCATCGTTGATAAAATAAAATTAATTGTATTAATTCTCTGCAATAAAATTAATCTCACCATTAGCGTACGTACGTTGAAATTAGTCGTGGCACAATTTTAATATACACGTTTGAGTGACATGTATGACGTCAAAATATATCGTTCCAACGGAAACCTGTTTGAACTGGAATCATACGATAGCGTATCATAATTTTTCCAGAATATTGCATATAAATATTTTACAATCTCTTATATTCAAACTTAAAATATTTTATAATTATTTGAATTGAAAAATAAAACTTCATTTTTAATTTATGCAGAGAATATTAGTTAAAAGATCATTCTTATATTAGTTAAAATTAGATTGATTTAAATTTTTCTTTTATACAATATTCGTATTATATATTAAGTATTTAAATATATTCAATTATTACGAAATCAATTTATTGATATAGCAATTATAATTTTTTAAACATAAATATATATAATTGAATTTTGCTCTATTGTAAAAATGGAAAATATTAAAGGAGGGAATTTGATGAATTTTTCTTGGCAGAAAGTATTTTGAGGTTTTAGGAACTTGTTTAGACATGCGCAGTACGCATTTAGCAAAAGCAATCAGAGATCACCACTTTTAATGTGGTAAATCGATTCTTTTGAAGAAATAAAAAATCCTAGAGCATAAATTTAAAGTAATCTTTTTTTAGTCCTAATTGTCTACCTAATTGTCTTAATTATCATTGATAATTAATGTAAAAAACAAGTATTCATGTTGAAAAAAAATTATGTTTTTCAATCCCGTATTATATTTTAAATATAATTAATTAATTATATTTTTAATATAATTAATTAATATTTCAAAATATGAATTAAAAAAATAATAGGTAAAAGCATGAGATTATTTGAAAAGTCGTTCATAATTTATATATTTATATACATATAGGAATTTATATACAGGTCAGAATTCAAAGAATTTAATTATGTAATCTTATTTTTTCTCGATTAAAATTTGAATTTGATCGCTCTATGATCATCAATAATTATTAACAAATATTTAAGAACTCAATCCTTTTTATATCAAAAAGTTTTTATGATTTTTAATATTTTAATCACTCAATCACTATACGCGCTGAACTTTTTCACAAAAGAATAAAAAGGTGAATGAGAAACATGACTGAGTCATAATACATATATATGTATATACAACCAAAGAATAAAAATCAAACAAATATATCTTACTATATTTATATAATAACAGTTTCAAAATTATTAAATAATTCATAAGAAAAATAAATTTTCATACATATAATAAAAATGAAAAATCATAAAAATAAAAAAAAGGAATAATAGAGAAATAAAATATGAAAATAGTACAAAGAAAAAATGGGGGTAGTGTGTTAGAGGGTTGGGCGTTATGACTGCGTAACCCGCATGCTCGAAACATTTCAGATAGTAAAAGCACAACAGTCGAACGAAGACCGCAGTACCGTGCAGTTCGAGTGCAGTGAATTGCACTGAATTTGTGTGCACGAAGAATCTTCAACTTCGTGCCTTTTGCGCGCATTCTATTCCTATTCCTTCTTTCTTTAAATCTTTTTTTTCTTTTTCTCTCTCTCTCTCTTTTTAATATTCTTTCTCTCATAACACATCAATGTGTAATATCCAATTAAAAACATGTACGTACATCTCCGAATGTATATCTATTAATAATATAACTTGATTAAAAAAAATTTATGCACGCGTGTAAACAAAACATACATTATACAAAATTAGAAAAAATTTTACGCACATTATCACAAAATCGTAATCTATAATAACAGCATACAAGAAGAGATGAGAGAGAAAGAAGAATACATCTCAATACATATAGGCTTTATATATGATACATGAGCGACATATTCGCGAAACAGAAGACGTGCTCGCGCATGCAAGGATTATCTGTGTATAGCTCTCAAATTTCTGATAATATGCAATGCATTTAATTCAATCAATCTATATGAAAAAAAGATTAAAAAAAATCCATTTATATTTTTATAGATTTCTGTAATACAAATTATTTTTTAAAATGATAAATCAATATGAAAAGAAACGTGTATTATACTTTTATTTTCTTTTTTCCTTTTCATTTTTCTCTCTCTTCTTGATTTTCTATGTATTAACAAAAAATTAAAAAGATGACTATATGACCGCTTCATGGAAAATATATTATGAAAAAATATCAATTATGAAAAAACTAAACATCTATTTTATAAAGATCGTATCAACATATCATTTTCAGTGTATAGATGCAATATACAGAGTGTGCCTGAGGTTATAGATGTTCTCTGTGTCTCCGCGAAGAAGCACTATGAGAAATGAAAGAGGAGGGGTGAT